CGGCCGCCTGCGGCTGAGCCCGGCACTGCGCTCTCGGGAACCCCCCACCCCCGCCAAAAGCGGCAGGTTTTTCATAGAGAAGGTGCAATGGCTTTAGATGTTCTTAATGGTGTTTTCGTATTTATAATATTTGTCATTTTATGTTGTGAGTATTAAGTGTAAGGGGCTCCTTTGTGTGGGTGTGTGATTGTTTTGCGCTGTGGGAGACGCGGCCCAGCTGAAGCCGCGGAGTTCTCTGGCCGCCAGGGAAGAGGCTAGAGATGAACGCAGGAACGACCGGGTCCTAGTGCCCGACCGCTGAGGCATCAGTCATCAGCGCTGCGGTTTGTTTGGGCTCAGGGTTTTAAGTGTCTCAAGTAAAATATCTCCTCTAGCAGGAGGCAGTAATTCTGTGTTAATTGTTGTCTTGAATTTAGGTGCATACTCTGCGGGGAGAGTGCACCTCGGTACCATTTGTCTAATGAAAATATTGTTAAAAAATCATCTACAACCTTACAGAGGTTGTTTTACCAGAGGTCATCGATGCTGGTTATGAAGAGAAAAATCAAAATTATGGTCTGTACCCCTGTGTTCAGTAACAAAAAAGTCAAAAATTGTTCAGCTTGTTAATCTTACTGCGGGTCCCCCTAATACCATGCCAAAAAGCCGCAATGACTCAGGATTTAGATCAGCAGGCACCCCTTAAATATTTTTGGAATCAAACAGTGACAGAAGGTTGACTTCTAGTAAAATTTACTCTCATTAAAGAAAAAAAAAATCTGTTGAGCTGACAGACATTTTAGATACTGGTGCAGATGTGACCATAATATCTGTGAGCAGATTGGCTGTTAGCTCCAGTAACTTAAATGCTTTTCAGGGTTGGTGGTCATACTGTAGCAATTTAAAGCAAAGATCTCATTCATGTAAGTGGCCCCAAAAAAAAAACTGGGTAGCAAATAGTCATCCATTTATACTGGAAAACCCTATTACATTTTGGGGTTATGACTGTGTAGCTCAATGGAGAACTCAAATTGGATCAAATTTGTCTTAATCACCACTGTAGCACAACCCACCCTGAAACCCACCCTGAAACTAACCTTGTAAACCGAATCACCTGTGTGACTCAGTCAGTGGCCCTTACCAAGGAAAAAGACGTGCCACCTTAATGATTCCATTCAGGGACAATTAAGTTTCTTATTTTAAAGAAAAGTGGTAAATAGTGACTTTTACATGATCTCCAACATATTATTGATACCATGGAGGATAAAAATATTTTGTGACTATGAATGCCCTCCCCAACAATGATTACCTGAAACTGACATCTTGTAGTAATTGATATAAAGGATAGATTTCTTTATCATTCCCTTGCATCCAAATGATGCACCTAAAATTACTTTTTCTATTCCCACTATTAATATTAGTGAACCTGCAAAACAATACCACTGCGTTATTTTATCATAACACATAAAAATCCCACCAGGTCCCCCAAGCTGTTATATATCGTTATATGGATAACATCCTTATAGCAACAAAAACGCAGGAGATCATGGAAAAGGCTCTTCCTTTAACCAAACACTCATATCTCAAATAGTGTTGAAAATACCACTTCAAAAGGTACAGATATCATCATCAGGCAGTACCTGAGCTGAAGAATTTGTGAACAGACTATTGTCCTGCAACAACTTAAAACTGCTATTAAGACTTTAAAAGATTTACAGAAACTGTTGGGAAAAATAAATTGGATACAGCTGTTGTGGACCTAACTCATGATGATCTGCATAGCTTGTTTGATATTTTATGAAAAGATCCTTCATTAGCATCACCCAAAGTACTTAGAAAGCAAAATAAGATCTTCACCGTATAGCTAACACCATCTCAAACAGACAAGCATCGCAGGTATACTGCATTCCCCCATGGGACAAGCCATCGTAGAAAGAACACACCAGACCTTGAAAGTGCTTTTGCAAAAACAAAAAGGGGGAGAAGTCTTGGCTCCAGGTCAACCATATCCTCTGCTGTTTCAGTGGGATGAAAAACACATGCATTTTTTCCACCGGAATGCCAGGTCAATACAAAAACAATTTTAACAACTTGCCCTGAATACCAGAAAGACTCCATCTCTTCAAACCTTTTAAACATCTCCCCTGTGTTACAGGTGTCACCAATATTGTGTCATCTTTCATCACAGATACCAGATCAACGAGAAGTCCAAAGTAAAGATCAAGTGTTAACAAAACCTAGAAAGGGGTAACTGGGAAGGACCATTGTGTTTAATAACCTGGGGAAGAGGTTATGCTTGTGTCTCCACAGGTCTCAGTCTCCAATGGTCACTGGCAAGGTGTGTGCAACCACACCTGAGGCGTGAGAGGCAGCCAGCACTCAGGATCCAGCTGTGGGTGCTGTGAGTGCCCCTGTATGGACAGTTTGCGATCTCTTCAACTGATCATTCAAGCAGAATGTCTGGGTAATGTTTGCTACTGCAACAGAACAAACTACACTACAGTTGCCAATTCTTTTAAGAGAAAATGCTAACAGTAATTGCAGCTCCTTAATGAAATATATAGGCTTACTAGTCACTAGTGAAAGATGTAGTTTAGATGGAATGTAGTTATTAATAACAATGAAATGCTGTAAGAATGAGTGTATTCAACTTTCTTTGTTTAGCAATATTAAGAATTAAGAGCTCAAATGTTTAACGTTATTAGAAACTCCCTTGGTTTTCCCCCTGGAGTGCTGGCCAGGCTCTGGGTGGAACCCAACAGGAGGATGAAATCAGATGTTCCTGCTCAAGAACAAGTGCCAGTTATTTTGGCCAGTTGATTTAGAGGCTGGACCTGCTTGCAGCGATATTGGATGCCTCACCTACAGATGGACGCATCGCGTAGGATTTCCAGTTTGTGAGGAAGGGCACTCTAAATTCTTGCTGCACCCAGGGTTCCCCAGCGATTGTGGATCTGAATGTTAGTACCCAATTAAGTAAGTGTGCTACTTCATGTTTTCCTTACTGTTTATTTTGTAGTTATATCCCTTATTTATAGGTAGTGAAATTAGCCTCCTCTTTTAACTAGTAATTGTAACTGCTGTATTGTTTTAACCTTCTTTGGAACTATTCCAAGTACACTATGTTTTTGAAGTTTGTCTAACCCTTAATTGATACAGCTCTCAAACAAGTCTTGCATGTGCCGATGCAAAACCAAGAAAGGGGAGATCTGGGAGGCATCAGCCTTACACAGCCTCTGACAAACAGCTAGGCTTTGATGAAGAACAGGCCTCGTAGGATAGATAAGAAACTGCTAAGTTGTGCCAAGGTGGCAGAGAAAAATCAATCAGGACAGCAGGCAATTTGCTTGGGCTTAGCAACTGCTGCCGACCCATCTCAGACCTGTTTGATCGGAGTTGAAACTGAGAGGCTCTCTTCCCCCAGTAGCTGGGAATAGCATGCAAAATCAGGCCTGGGGATGCATATAGTTTGAGGATAAAAAGCCTATCTGACACATGGTTGGTATAATCAGATGGTCTGGCTGGGATGGCAAAACGTGACTCCTTCAGCAGTACCGATAAATGACATTTGGTTTTGTAGTGATACTTTCACAATGGGTTTACATCTTGAAGAGGGAAGAGTATATAATAATGATCTGACTAAAAGGTTACCAATTACTAGATGGTTAAAAGATTTGTTTTTACATGGACTAACAGTTTAAGTTGTCATTATAATCCTTTTAATGATGTTAAACTACTTGTAGAATGGCTGAAAAACAACAGGCACATTATGAGCAATCCAAACCGAGTGGCCTCACTGTAACAACAGGCTGTAGCTGGTGTGAAGAACACCTGCAAGGCCAAAGGGTTGAGAAACTGCGTATGTAGCAAAAAGATAAAGAAGCTAGACTGTAGAAGACAAGATGTTTGCCTGGCAGGAGAGCAGCTTGTAGACACCACACCGGGACCAATCAGAGAGGGTAAAAGGGCTCATGGACAAGTAGCTTTAACCTATGAACAATCAAGTAGCTGCACGTGTACTTTATGGTAGTCAATAAATTGCTGTGTATCCTTTAATAAAATGGCATTGTGGAGGCCTGGAGAGAATGTCACTACATCTCTCTTAGCCCCCAGGAGTAGGGGTTGTAAAAGCCCTATCCACCTTGAACAAAATAGCCTGTTGGAGTGTAAAACAATTTAACTCAACATCTAATATAGTAAGTAATTTGTTGACAAATGAAGATAGTATAAGGCATGCTGTTCTGCAAAATAAAGCGACTATAGATTTTTGTTATTGGCACCAGAACATGAATGTGAAGAATTTAAGGGTATGTACTGTGTGAATCTTTCTGATCACTCTCAAGTTATCTCTAGGCATTGTTACTAACTGCAAGACAATATACATAGTGAGATTATTGCTGTCTTGAGTGGTAAATAGAATAGAGGCCTTAATAAAAAGAAAAGGGGGAATTGTGGGTGTGTTTGCCGGGTCGCAAACCATCTGCGTCACTGACAATGTAAAAGTGTCATCAGCATTCAAGTTAGAAGATTAACAATGTCTAAATTAATGACGTACTTGTGTTAGAAGACTAACGGTGTCTAGATTAACGATGGCTAAAATTGAAAGTATTTTTACTCATTAGGGAAGAAACAGATAAGAAAGGAATCTGTAGAATAACAAAGCAGAAATTTATCTACCAGTTGTGGAGGCTTAGTAGCGCTTGTTGAAAGTGCTGAGAGGAATGAGTTTTTGAAATCATGCACCAGAGCAACACATGGATTTGCTGTCACATGAATATATAAGGGCTGTTTTTTCTAATAAAGATCGGAGCGTGACTGTTAACCATATTGGTGTGTGTCTTGTCTCGCAGCCTCGTCCTGCAAATAAGGGGGTTACTGCTACAGTTCTCCACAAATAGTTCTAGGCTAATCCCACTCCTCAGGTGCTTTTAACAAATTAAACATAACGTGAGACCAAAGGACACATATAGGATTCACTCAAGCCTCAGAGGAAGCAGCCAATGATGAAGGCAACACCAACCACAAGGGATCACGGGCCTGCCATCCAGCAGCAGCAGCCCTGGTCTAAATGCCACCTAAGTTCCCAGGCACGCAGGACCCCTTTAAAGAAAACTGGGTACGTGTCAAGCTTGCCCACGCTAATGGCCACCTGCCGCACAATAGGGCACACTAAGAGTTTGGAGACAGGGGCACAGTTCACAGGGACTGGTACAATTCCCTAATGGCACAGAGCACAGGCGTCCAACACTGGCCTGCACAGCCACCCCGCCAGGGTCACGGCTGTGAGGTACATGGCAAGTGAAA